TTTCCTTTTCTCCGGCAACACAGGCGTGAGGCCAGGGCCAAGGGGGAGGGGGGGGGGGGGAATATCTGACTAAAATAATATGTTCTTTATTCCCAGCGAAATCGTGTCGGCCGTAACGACCCCATGAGTCCAGAGCTGGTCCCGATTCCCCCCGCCCCGATCCCCCCCGGGGGGCGAGGGGGATCACGGCCCACAGCCAGTCGGCAGGGGCCGGGGCGGCTGGCCGAGCGGGCGCGGCAAAAAGGCCCGATGACATTCCCCTCCCGGGCTGGCCGCGTGAGACCAACCGCCCCCAGGGCAGAGGGTCGGGCTTCTTCTTCTTCTTCCCCGGCAACACAGCCTGGCCCGGCGGCCCGCCTTCGGAGAGAGAGAGTCCTTCCTGCGGCGCTCGCACACCGGCCAGGACGAACACCACGGATGACGCTCGCCTCCGCGGTGGCCGCCGTGTGAAACAGCTATTTGTCCAGGAATCCCTCCTACACAGGCTGGCATACCTTCTCTTGGGTCCCCGGGCGGGGGGGGGGGGGGGCGGCGCGGCATATCATACACTTTCCCGGCCGAACATGTTCCTGCAGATCGGCCAGCCAAATATGGGGCAGGCCGCACCCGCCACCTCTGCACGCAGAGCTGCGAGTCGGCAGGAAGGCAGGGCATTCGCGCGGGGCCGAACCCATTTCGTGCGTGTTGCCCGTTCGCCGTGGCGCCCGGGCACCCGTTCCAACCAGACCCCCCCCCCTGCATACACACAGACACACACACACACTCACACACAAGGGGACTCGGTCGTTCATGCTCAATGCCTGTCTCTCGCGCCTCGGAGGCCTGTTAGAGCGAGGCCCCTCGGCACGGGGGGGGGGGGGGCCTCGGCCTCTTTTTTTTTTTTCGGCCCCTCCTGGCCCCTCTCCTCTTGCCTGCTGTGTAGTAATGCTGGACGGTTGATTTGCTCGCCTGACGGTGCATTCCCCCCCCCCCTCCCTTGCGTGGCACTCCCACACGAGCCACAGGACCGGGGCGTCCCGGCCCCGGAGCAAGTCGGCTCAAACGCGAGCCCCCGGCCGCCCCCCTGGGGCTGGGGGCAGCCGTCCCCCGGCCGCGTGGAAGGCCTCGAGCCTGCGAGGGCGGGCCCTGCATGCATGCGGGCCGGGCTAGGTGCTGCGTGTCAGCCCTGCGCTCGCTCCGCACCCGCCTCTCGTGCCTGGCTCTTGCACAGAGAATCGCCTATGACTGTCCCGGGGGCGGGTGTGTGGGCATACACCATCGCTTGATGCTCGGCTCACCTGCCCCAGCACATGGTTGTTGGGAGGCTTTGGTGCAATGAGGCGATCTGTGTCTCGCGCTCTCGACCTCTCTCTCGTTCTCTCGACACGGGGGGACCGGCATTCGCGGCGGCAGTGGTGGGCGTGGTCATCTTCATCGTGTATGCCGCGCTATCGTCGCCCCCCCCCCCCCCCCCCCCCCCCCCCCCC